AATTACAAGTGAAGACATGTGGCCAAGAGAAGCCATGAGACTTTCTCTTTTGGCTACTTTGTGGCAGAGAAAAAAAGAAAGAAGATAGATCTCCAGGAGAGCCCTGCCTATCTTTCCACTGTGACTTGAAAGATTCCAGCTCTAGTTCTCTGTCTTACAGTTACCCTGACCCCCTCTCTATCCAGAATACTCTCTCTTTTCATCCCTGCATCCTGGTTCACCTGGTTATGGCTCAGAGGTTATTACCTTCAGGAAGATCCCATCACTCCACAGAATAGGACAGCTTCCTCTGTAGATGTACTTGTATAGAACCATCTCCCTTCACTTCAGAGTACTTATCTCTGTTTTCATGTGATGTTTGTTCTTGTGATTGTTTTTTAACACCTGTCTCCCCCTAGTAGCCCATGAGTGGGGGCATTTGTTTACTCAGACCTGCAAATCTATAGGTAACAGCACTGAGCAAACAGTAGGTACTCAATGAATATCTGTGGGATGATTTGATGGATCATCTTTGTGACTCCCATTGAAGGGCTCTCATGATGGCATCAAGTTGTCCCTATTAAAGAGTTATGCACATTTTATCACAATGACAATGTTTGGCCTTGGTTGCAAGATTTATAAAGACCACCTTGGGTTTTCCCTCTCTCTTTCCTCAGACCAGAAATAAAAAAAAGCACATAGGGTAAAAGGTTCCATGTACCATCTTAGTGTCTGCCAGTATAGGAAGAGAAAGTCAATTCTGGAGGCCCCAGGTCAGGTGGAATGCTAAATATTTAAGTGTTTATGAACAGGCTCAGAGAAGTGGAGGCAGGAATGGAGTCTGTTTGGCTGGTATTTGTTTTGCAGAGATTTGGAAAGAAGATCCTTGGTTTACTCTGGGACACAAACAGGAGATAAGTTTGCAGATGGATCAGATAACGAATAACAGAAGTCCCATGCTGTACTGCTCCCTGCCACTGAAGGGGGTCAGTCTGCATAGAGGGGAACCCGCAGCTCCACACACAGTTGTTTTATTATGTTCACTTGCCCACTATCACTTACTCAGAGAAAGCCTCTTAAATTCAACCCACAGAAACAATGTTTGAACTACTCAGCTGGTCTATAAAATACCATGATGAAAGACAGAGTAGAAAAGCGACGCATTGGCCTCTTTATTGAAAAATGATGTTTGTACTAAATCTGAAGGAATTAATATTACTTTTGTAAATTCCTCCATTACTCAGGTGAATTATTAATTCACATATTCACACAAAATATTTACCGAGCACTTTGCATATACAGGCAGTGGTCAGGTCCTAGGGATGTATGATTAAGAAGAAAGGAGGCCCCCACAAAAAATCTTTCTTTGTAGAATTTGCATTCTAGTAAAAGACAAATCATAAATAAGATAAGAAATAGAGTATGTAAAATAATGGTAATTAGGGAAAAAAATAAAGTATAGTCCAAGAATATGAAATATTGGGACCAGTCAGCTATATTTCAGACAGCAGGGACAGAAAAGGCTTCTTTATGAATACAGCTTTCAACTTCATTTTAATTCAACAGGGAATATACAGGCCTATATTGCCTCTGCCTCAGGGGGTCCTCAGCAGTCTTACCCTATCTGTAATGTTGCATAAACCTTTCTGTTCAACTGGGGCACCTAACTTCCCACTCTGCCCCACCCCACCAGGCTGAGTGACAGTCATCCTTGGGTGCACACCTAAAAATCACCTTCTCCCTGAATAACCTGAGCTAAATGAAAGGGCTATTCTGTGGGCTACCAGGGTATTGTGCTCACTAGTGATGTAATTGTTACTTTGTCTACCACTCCAACTACCAACACACACACACACACACACACGTATGATTAATACAACCATAGCTGCAATTATTATGTGTAGGTACTATGCATACATTATTTTATTTACTCTTATCTACTCTGATTTATCCTACTTGGATAAACCTACAAGAGTTTTAGTAATTTTCCCGAGTTTAGCAGCCAGAAACTGGTAAAGCCAATATTCAAATCTCTGCAGAGTACATCTCTATCTCTGGAACCAGCTGCCTACAGATGCAGTGAAAACAGACAATAGGTGATGGAAGGGTATACATGAAGAGTCAATCACTAAAATGCTGCTCTGTCCTTGAGCTTGAACTCAGTCTGCTGGGCTCATGACCCTCACCATGGTGACTTGCAGAAAGGCCTTTTAAAGAGCAAGTGTGTTCAGAAGTAACTAATGCTTCTCAGCCAGTTTCTGGGGAAAAGCTTGGTGATGAAGTAGTCTGGAGTCAAATGTGGCTGAATGTGCACAGAGATGAAATGCTGTGAAGCACCGGTGTGCACCCTGATATGGATCAGCCAAACATTCAGCTGCCGTGGAGTCCGAAGCAATCACCTCAAGTGTATTTTTGGCTTCGCTATAACCCAAGATCCTTAATGGCTAAACAGTAATAATTCTGGAGCAATTCCCTTTAAGGGTAAGTATGTATAATTGGAAATGTTTGCGAAAAGTTCTTTAGAAAGTAAGTTTAACTCTGATTTTGCAATTGTTTGGGAATTGGCCAGGGTAGGGATCAGGACAAGAGTTAATTAATAAAAACAGTCATCAAGACACAGGAGCAGATTGGCTCTTCAAAGTCTTAGAGGTTCATTGCCAACATTTCTCTCTCTCAAAGAAGCTTGAATTTATTATTACTGAGTCACACAAAAATGCCAAATGCTTCTATTACTTCATTTAAAGAAAGGAGGTGAGATTAGTCACCAGATTCTGTAAGTCCAAAACAAAACCCGATTTAACTACTTTTTCTATTCAGAAAAAAATGGAAAGTTCTCCTGGGCAAGGCATGTTTGTTTACTTATATTATATAGATACCATCAGTGAGATATACCTCCATAAAGTATCAACTAACAGAAACAAGGAGAAGATGTCTATAAATGATGCATGTCTGAAATTACCCAGAATTTCACATGGTATTAAGTGACTTGCTGTACACACTGGGCTAAAGAAGTTCTGAATAACCAGAAAGTAAGAATTTAGGGGCTCTCCATTCTGTACCCAATAACTCTTCAGTGCAAATTATAGTTTAAACATATGGCAGACAGTAACTAATGATACATAGAATGTGGTGGGTAACATTAAGGCCTTGGGAATCTCCAACCTGAATCAAACTCAAATCATTCACTAGCTCTATGGTCATGACTTTTTTTATAAATCCATCCAAGTCACAGTTTCTGCACTTACAAAAAAAGGATGCTGGTCAAGAAGCCTGTATTCAAAACCTTCTGGACAGATGTGCTCTGGAACTCAGACTTTTTTACATTTAGAAACATTTTAAAGTATTAAAAACTGTATAGGAAGTAACACACCCTCAGAAGGGTCTGGGGAAGCATCCTGTAATCAAATACATCAACATTTCTGCTGGGAAATACAGGAGCAGTCACAGTAATGGGATGCAGTATGACTATAAATAGCTCCAAGTCAGTTCTGCGGCCTGAGTTTGTACCAAGCATACAAAAAGAAAAAACAAAAACAAAAAAACCTTTCAGAGATTTTTTTGTATTTTGGACTCATGAAATAAAAGTACACACTTATACACATACACATAGAAAACGGGGGAAGAAACTATTGTTAGAACAGAATTTTGCTCATATAGTGCTTTTATAATAGTACTCAACACTGTTATAGAAAACACCCAGTACTGGACAGAATCAATTCCTCGAATGGTAGGAATCATTGCTTTGGTCATTGATATGCCCCCATGTGCCTAAAAGAGGGTTGGACACATAGAAAGGCCTCAATAAATAGTCTGAATGACTCGTATCTTCTCATCCAATTTTTCTTTGTCCAAGTAGAACTACATGAAATGAGAAAACAGTCCTTGGAGAGGCCCACTTTGCTTTGTGAGCTAGAAGCAGGAAAGCAATTAGACGTTTCCAGCAAAGCACAAGGAGTTAAGTCTTGAAGATCAACAGTAAACTCTTTTCCTATTTTTCTTATAAATCATTGCATTTGGGATGCAAATAACATTGGCAAGATTCACTTCCGAATCTGACTTATCAGGAAAATCAGCCACTGCCAGGTTCACAAGTGAAATTCTATCTACGGGGAAGGTGTGTGTCAAAATTAACAGGAGCTCGCCCTGGCCGGTTTGGTTCAGTGGATGGAGCGTTGGCCTGCAGACCAGAGAGTCTCGGGTTCGATTCCCACTAGGGGCACATATCAAAATAAAAAAAATTAACAGCAGCTCATAGACTGTCATGAGGAATCAACATGTGCAGTCTTCAATACCCACAGAGTGACTTTGGAAGGCGGGCAGTGCTTATGTACACGAGAAACGCTTGTCTCATCTGCCAGCACCGCAGGACCACTGAACCCAGTCTCACACACGCATGCACGCACATACGCCGCTGTATTCCAGTTCTGATTCTGCACATGTGACAATGAATCCACTAAGTTCCTATTGCCGAGTTTACTGAATCACAGCACAAAGCACTGTTAAGCATCCACATGAGTAATTTCCTTTTCTTAATCCTAGGTTAACGATAGACACAGCAAACAGACAAACAAAAGGAGAAAACTGTATCTGAAATTGGAGAAACAGGACCTCAAACTCAAATAAAACAAAATACCATTTTAGGAATCAAGGTGGTATAAAGCCAAACTCAGAAAAAATTCATACTGCTTCCAAGCACTGTAAGTTAGAGAAGAGGTTTGGCATACAGATGTCCTATATGAATCGGGAAAGGAAATCTTATTTGTGTGTTATGAAAATGCTATGGCATCGATGCAAGGATAGAAGGCATGGGGGAGATGAGCTTTCCCCAAAAGAGCAATCTGTCTACATTTAAAACTGTTACCAAGAGATTATTCATATTCCAACAGAAACCAACAGGTAAACTAACCATCTGGCAAAATGTACTTACAGCTAAGTGTATCAGCAACTGTGACAAGTCTGACGTTCAGATCTAAAGACAAGGAACAGATCCTGAACTTGGGAATCTTAAAAATGAAGCTTACCCGGCCAACAAGAATCGGTTCAGGTCCAGAAAATTCTTCCAGGACAAACATTTGATTCCAAACCCAGCCTCTTTTGGAGCGGTTTAAAATCCGCTGCTCTTCACTCTGCCTATTTGGTTCCAAACGGGATCCACTCGTTAAAACTTGAGACTGATTCATCGGAGCCATGTAAATGCAAGGAGGAAGAGTAATCCATAATATTATTAATGGAGTCCAGAGATCCAAGAGCATTTCCGCGAGCCGTTCTGGCATGGTCCCACCAGTTAAGCAAATCACCAGGAAAATGAGACAATTACTTTTTTTGCCTCCAGTCTGCAGCCATCCAATTCATCACGCAGGGCCAAGCATTTACTTACAGGTCTGCCACGTGCTCACAGCACAGGAAACAGACATCATCCAAGTGTTTCTAAGACCAAGATCCACTGGCTTTCCTTTTCATTGAAATTGCCTGAAAAAAAATATGGGGAAGAAAGATAAAAATCCACTGAAACAGGTTTTGAAACAAAATTGCTATTTTTCAAAATCAGGTAAATGAAAAATAGACATTTTCTAAAATTCTTGAGTTAAGAAAGTGGAACTGAGGAATGGAAGCAAGTAGGCTAATCAGTCCTTTTAGTTTTTAAGCTTTCTTTAAATTTAGTGTTAATATTTTTTCTGTTAGTTATCAAAAATTGCTACAAGCACAGTGATAGAAATTCGCTTTTTTCTCCCTTTCTTCCTCCCTCTTTTTCCTTCCTGCCTTCCTCCATCCCTCCATTCTCCTTTCTTACATTTTTTGAATTTCTCATGCAAATTGGAGTACATGCTCATGAAGCCCTCTTATATTCTTGTAGAAGTTTGAAACCTCTATTTTTTTCCTTCTTCCTTCTTTCCTTCTGCCTTTTCCTCTCCTTCTATTTCTTTCTCTCTTTACAGTTTAAAGATGAGTTTTAATTCACTTTATGCTGAACTATGTAAGGAAACTAGCCTTTAATGTTTTTTTTTCTTTTTTTTATTATTATTTATAAATGAGACTGGAAGGGAAATTTTCTCAGTTTTTACAGTCTTAGCTGCCACACCCATCGGAAGGTGTCATCCAGTCAAGGGTCCGGAATGCAGTTCTCCCCGGACGCCAATTGCGAGTGGATACAATTAGAATGCTGCCAGAGAAACTGTAATGTCCAGCATGTATGTGACAGTCAGGATCGTGTCAGGACTCCCGTTCTAAATGTGCAGTTAAACAGGAAAGTTCAATTATGAAAAGCTCCTTTGAGAGTAGAATATGGTAAAAATACAATTTTGAATTGAAGAGATTCAGCAAGGAATGGGTGAAAAAAATCCCCATTACCTCAGGTGTCAAATACATTTTTTGCTTACCTTCAGTGTGGAAAAACGTGTTTCTCTCCTCTCAAAAAAAATTACTTTTAAAGAAATAATGTTCACTGCAGATCCCAGAGAGAAGCCTTGCTGAATTAAATTAAATGGGAAAATGACTTCTCAGGATGCCATTGGGAACAATTTGGTTCAGGGAATTCTTAATTGGGTAGGCAACCTTTCACCTCTGGGCTCCTGGTCCTATTCTGTCTCAGAATGATGAAACCAGCAAGTTGTTACCATTAGCTGGGCCAGTCAGCAGGCTGAGTGAAGCCGGCTGCAAGGGGCAGACCCGGATCTGCTGCCAATGCAGACAGCGCCTGATCTAACAAGCCAGCCAGAGGCATCTGCCTGCCTGTCACACTTTGCCAGGGCTCCGCTCAGTCCCTATAACTACCTCAAAGGTGGCTCCGCCCCGAGGAGTGAACACGGGGGCCACTGCAAGCAGCAGCTCCTTTGGAAACTGATGAAAAGCTTACAATAGAGAACCAACTCAGCACAACGTCCTGTAGTCTCCCTAGAACTTCAGCACACCCCAAAGTCAGCCCTCCTTAAAAGCAGACTTCCATTAATACCTTTTCTCAGCCCAGCGTAAGAACAGACCCTTGCAGGCTTCAAATAAAACAAAACAAAATTCAGAAGGTGCTGATAAGCAATCCCAAAATATGAAAATTTTTCTGAACCACTAGCCCAGGTATTTATGTAGACAGTATTTATAGCACATACATCCCATAGCCTGAGCTCTTCTCTCCTGGGATCGGGCAGTGTAGAGGAAAGACTGCTCTGCTGCAGAGTGTCTGGGTGGAGGCAGAAGAGCCCAGGTGTGAACCCCAGCTCACCAACTGTCCCCTGTAATGATGGGAGACATACTGAAGTTCTCTGAGCTTCCATTTTATCTTCTGCAAAATAACGACGAGAATTCCCACTTTCCAGGCAGCAGGGCGATTCAGAAACCAGACATGTAAATCAGCCAGAACACAGGAAGCACTGACTGAACGAGGAGGGTGGTGTTGATGTGGTCCCAGCCCTCAAGAGGCTTTGGTCAGGAAGAGAAATGAATGAACAAAGAGGTAAGCTGTGTGACCACTGCAGTAGAAGCAAGGTCCTGGAGTGCCCCAGAGGCCCCAAAACTCTTCGCCAAGGTGGTGTGTGTGAGGGGGAGGGGATGGTGATGAGGAAAGGGCTGGACCACTTCACACCAAAGGTGGGGCTCATTCTGACAGCTATAGCTCAAAACCCACAGATGCCCTTCTCCACTGGCCTGACTGCGATAGAGGCAGAACCATGAGGTGCGTGTGATGGTCTCTCTGGCATTAGCCTACCTGGGGTTTGAATTCTCGTTAAAGAACTACACTAGCCCTGGCTGGGTGGCTAAGTTGGTTGGAGCATCATCCTGTGCACCAAAGGGACACAGGTTTGATTCCCAGTCAGGGCACAGACCTGGCTAGGTTGTAGGTTCGCTCCCAGGTTGGGTGTGAATGGGAGGCAACAAAATAAGGTTCCCTCTCACACTGATGTCTCTCTCTCTCTCTCTCTCTCTCTCCCATCCTTCTTCTCTAAAATCAATAAAAGTAAAATAAAATAAAAGAACTACACTCACCAGTTGTACAGATGGGGGCCAGTGAACAATACCTACCCAGAGAATTAAAAGATTATAATCCTGGTAGAGCTATTGGGCAAATCTGAAATGTACCATTTGTTTTAAAGTGTGCCAAATACCCTGCACGTATACTTTGGCATCTGCTATGTTGTTAGTGATTCTGGAATAGAGACGTTTAATCCCATTTAAACTCATGATAGACATTTCTTCACCGCAAACCATCAAGTAACACTCAGGATGAAATGTGACATGACCAGTGTCCTTCCCGGACTCGCCAAAATCAGGTAAAAAGTAATAGTAGAGCTTGGAACAATTGTATACAATGACATAGCTTCATTAGTCAGAGTGAAAGGATTAATAAATATATGTAGAACCCCAAACAGTATTTATTAACACAATATCTTACAGCTGAATTAAGATCCCCATGCTTTACTGTTTTGTTCAAAACAGAGACACAGAATAATTAAGTGACTTGCCCAAAAAATACCTTTGATAAGAAGCAGTTCATTGTTTGAATCTAGGTAATCTAACTCCAAAATTATCTTCCTTACCACAGCTTTTACTCATCATGTAAATATCTGATGACACACTAAGTGTCCAGTGCTGGGAATAGAAAGGCAAACAGGTCAGCGTGCTTATCTTCAGGAAGCAAAGAGTCTAAAGGGCAAAGACTAAGAAATATATACTTACAACTTTTAATGAAACATAATCTGAGAAAAGTTAGGGGAATGCAGAGTGATGGGTATGCATTATAGAAGGCTTTCTGGAGGAAGTGTCATCTATGTGTTAGGAAGTGATTACACAATTGGGGAGGTGCAGGTGTGAAAGAACATCTAAGTCAAGCCATGGACAGGAACAAGACCACTAACTATTCCAGGAGCTCTGAGTGAACTAGCACCTAGGGTAGTTTTCAAATCATTACTTACTAGCTCACGCAGTCCATGAGCACAGCATCTTCTCCCTACCCATCAAATTCATCCTAGTCATGGTCACTACAGAGTACGTGTCAACTAGCACCTTCATCTCTGCCAGTTCTTTGTGAAGAAAAGAGCATGTTTGATTTCTTCAAAGCTTTGGCAATAGAAATACACACTCTCCCACGGAGAGGGTATGGGAGACAGATGAGTGCTATCCCAATGCAACCCTTCACTCTACAGAGAAAGGGGGAGTGCCTTGGCCAAAGCCCACAGTCACTGGCAGAGCCCTGGCAGAGCTCCAGGAGGAAATTAGGCCAACTCTGCAGAAACCTCTTTCTCTCTATTGCTCATGCCCACACTCCCTCTGTGCACAGCTTCTAGCACCGAAACACTCCTATACCCTACTCAAATGTTGCTGCGTTCTTATAGTGCATGAACTATTATGTTAAATTTTATGAAAAGTTTAAGTTTTTAAAATGTTTACTTAAAAATGAAAAGCCAATATTATTTTCTACAAACAATTAAAGTGGACCTTAGAAAATGCTTAGCTAATATTCCATCAAAACCACACACACACACACACACACACACACACACACACACACACTATAAGTATGGATATGGTAAGTCATAAATAAAGACTATACACAAATATGTATCTATTCACATTGGATGGAACACACATGTATGTATTTATATCTACTCTTCAGAACACCTTTATCATGTAAGTATTATTATGACTCATTATCATCATTCCCATTTTAGAGAAAAACGTAGAGAAAATTGGCATGTTTAACAATGTTTTATTTTCACCAAACTAGACACTGTCAAAGCCTGGGGTCATCTCACTCTTTGTTAAAAGGGAAGACCAGCAACAGTTAGAGGCAAGGGCATGCTGCTCAATATTTAACGAGTAGCTCTGAAAAGGAAAATAAAAGAATGCCCCATTCCTGGTTTCCATGCTACAAATATTTGCACCATGATCAATTTGAAGCTCAGCATGACCGTTAACCAGCTCTAGGGCAGTTCCTGAAAATGTAGCAATCAGCTCCGATGTATCCAGTATGAGTTACCCCAGGACACCCATTGTGGGGGTGCTTCTCAAACTTTACTATACAGTCAGATCTCTTGAACCCTTGATAAAATATAGATTCTGAGCCAGTGAATCTAGGGTGGGGCTGTGATGCTGCATCTCTGACCATCTCTCCTGTGATGCAGATACTACTGATTTGAGGACTACAGTTTGAGAAGCCAGGGGTTCCAAAGAATAAGACCAACTCCCCACTCAGATCTCCTCCTTGAGATTACTTGAAGGACTCAATGGTGATATAGGGGGAAATTCACTTCCTGCTCAGTGTTATTTAATACCCATAACCTACTTACTATCACTGTGTATACAGACCACACACATATATCAGATTTTGGAAAACCCTTCACTGACGTGTATGAATATGTAGAATTTTGTATGATGTCATAGTATGATTCCCCCACTTCATCTCAACATTAGGAGTGACATGGGAAGACTACCCCATTGACTGGTGTGTCCATAGGCACATGCATTTTATCTGGAAGTGGAGA